AGAGGTGGTAAAACGATTACTGCTCGAATTCCTCTCAGCCAGCCTCGGCCCAGCCTGCGCTAGTGGTCTGGACGGGGCCAGGTCTGCCCTTGTACGTTCTCATCGTGCACCACTTCTTTTGACCGTTTTACAAAGCGACCAATTACGCTTTCCTAAATGGTTGGCCGAACCAACCAATCACAGCGGTAAGTGTGACCCTCAGGCGATCAGTACGAATTGGTGAGAAAGGCTGCCCTGGCTGCGCTTAGAGTCACGCCCCGGCCAGCCCATTCGCTAGCAGGGATCATGGCTGTACTCTACCAGGAGTAATGAGTGATCCAGCGATATAATGACGCCAACTGTTCCACCTGACACCTGCTTCTACCACCAGCTAAGGTACCTGGAGAGGGTGGAGAGGGGGTGGGAGCGAGTTGACAAGACTATAGCCACGCCTATTCCCTGTTCGTGTCATAGCGCACCCATCGATTATTTTACAAAACTGACCAGTATAACTATGACTAGTATAACTATCAGGGAGCTTTCGAAATGTTTCTTAAAGAACTTTTCAAGGTGTCCTCGGATTCCTTTGGTCGGACCGAGTACAAAACGCTATGAAGAAAACAGCTGGCTGACGTAAAAGTCACAAAGCGATTAACATTTACCAGAAAGCTCTACTAAGACGTCACCGTTCAAATCTCAATAATCCCAGGAAAGGCTACGAATCCGTGGAAAACGTGAAAGGTACTCAAACTACCTTTGAGTACAGCTCAAAATACCACGGCTAAATCTCACTGTTTGTGAGTAAAGATTGTTGCAATCGGTTGAGAGATCCACTATGAGAGGATCGTATTTGAGCAGCTCTGGGGAGGGGGTCCTACCACGTTCGTTGAGGGGGTTGTCACTGATCTCAAGGGTGAGAAAAGCTCGTCCTCGCCGGGTCGCGCAGAGCGACTCATCTCCAGCTCGAACTTCACAAAAAGGGGTCCTGTGCGAATGTTTTGTTTTATAAGGTTGACATGGTGATTTTAAGAGTTTAGGAGCTTTTGTACTTACTTGCTTATGGAGACAAAATAACTGGGAAACATGAAAACGCATAAGAAAATAATCGATGACTTGAATAAGAACAGATTTGAAAGGAACTCGAGAGTAGTGCTCTTCGAACTCTTACTATATAACAAAAAAAAAATTATAAGCATTCTGTAAGCTCAATAAGGACGCCAATCAACACAACAAGAAAAAATAAAAGAGTAGGAAAAAAGAGACAAATTAAAGAAAAACAAAAGGGGCCAACCTTTGCTCGTTCCAGTTGAAGAGCCGCTTGTCGTTCGGCATCTCGTCGAAGTGTTTCTCGATTACCGGCTTCGAGATCGACATCCTCCTCACGATGACTGAAGTTCGAGTCGCCACTGCCCTGAACCGCCAATTTTTTTATCTTTCCTCTGGAAAATCAGAGCCAGTACCAATCAAATCCGGCAGAAAAGAAATCAGACGAAGGATGGGCCCGAATCTTTCAGCTACGCTACGATGATTTCCCCGAGAAGTCTGAGCAAACAAAGTATCTTTCAAGTGATGGAACAGTTAGAAAGCCGATCAGCAGAGTAGTCACTGCCACGGCGCCATCTCATCACCACCTTACCCACGCCCATCCTCCCACCTACCTGCGCTTTCTCAACGAAATAGGGTTGGGTGGGTTTTGTTAAGCTCGCTGGACGCAGGCGAGCAGTGAAAGAAGTAGTTCAAAGACGCCTCTCTGAATCCCCCCCCCCTGCACCATCAACTTCTCTATGGCCAGTTTTGATAAATTTCTGCTGAACTGATAAACTGTAGTATCGATCTCGAACCGAAGATCGGTGAGCTCGAAAATCCCGCGCATTTTCGCCGCGCGCGGCGACTGGGAAGCTGTGCGTCAGAATTGTGAGACAAATTTTCCGTTTTCTTTCACATCTAATTTTGGAAATCATTAAGAAAGGTAAGAATTAATCTGAATAACTTAATGGGAGAAATTGTAAGCTTTAAATAAGCATTCTATGGGCTTTTGGAAGCGGGGCTCAGCCCTATATGATGCTTATAGGACCTCTTCGGTGGGGAAACTATGCAGCTTCTCTCTAAGGGCACGTGCAAACTGGAAGTTCTCTTTTTGCTTTGAACCACCCTCCCCCCCTCCTCTAAGGCTTCTTATTTGCTCGACTTTTCAACCCGAGTCCATGAATTTTCGCATTCAATGATTTTTTTTACTTAGTTCTCAGTAGCAGCTCTCGTGGGCGAAACCTCACGCATTCCACCAATTAAATGGCGCCTATGTTGCCCGGAGTTACAATTAAAACTACGCAAAATTAGCTTCATTTAGGGAACTGCAGTTGAGCTTCTTCCACTAAGGCCTTGAAAAGGATACCCATCAATAGAGGCTAATCCAGATTCTCTGCGTGTGAGATATGGACATGTCAATTTTGCAGCTTGAAATAGAGAAAAAAGGCAAAAGAAGGAACAGCAATTTCGCACAAGTAACTCCGCCCACCGTAATTGGAGACGCCTGCCATAACCCAGCGTGGAGGTTATTAATAAAGAAGACATGATCCACAGGCATGTCAAAAAAATGTGGAGCAAAACTGGTGATATATCTAGTTTGGACGCAATATCAAAGATATCAGGAAATGAAACTCGTCCAGACACGTAGGCAAGTAGCCCTCCTGAGCATGCCTAATTTTTTGAAGATAATAACCCCGTTAGTTGAACATCTCGGAAATATCCCCAAGGGTGCTCTCCAGAATTACCAACTTGGGGTTGATCGAATAGGGGATACGCCACGCACTCGCCCGCTTCGCTACCCGATGTTCCAGTCAGTATTTCTGCCTCCCACACAAGTCTCGTTCCAATTATCCAACGGTCATAGATGAAAAAAGGTTTGGTTGCCCAGGGTGGGATTCGATCCGAGATTCCATCC